TCACATGTGGAAATGCAGCCTTGTGTTTGTACGGATCGGATAAAGGAGGGAGCTGTATTAGGACAATGGGGTACATCCTAGCGCAGTAGAAAGGCACCGCTCTGGAAATGCACCACTAAACCATAGAATTAAATGGTGTTACTGAAACCTTAAACGCCCGTTACTCATTATTGTAGCAATAAAATTACCAATGAATAAATAGGTGAATAGATTAGTAAGTAGACGAAAGTGGACGAATTAAAGAATCAGTCGTTAGATAAACACTCTATGTGTCATAGATTCAAGAATTAAGCTATCAAATCACTTGAAATTTGATCATTTTCCCTGTAATCAGCAATGAAAGGTATATCTATTGAAATAAGATAATTGATGAAGTTTGATGTTAAACTTTGAGCGTAACATGTCTAAGATTACAAATTACTTTAGTTAGCTTTATTGCCAAAATTTCAGGTATACTGTTGTTAAAAGCTCCTTTTTAGTTTGGCGAAGCTTATCGTTGTGCGTTTGAATAAGACAATCAACGAGTTCAAATAATATTTCGTATTGTATGATAGGTGCTGAGCTGGTGCAACGTTGATTCCGTGATAATTTAAATTTACGTAAGCTCTCTAAAATGCAAAGAATAGTCAGACATTTTCTAAATAACTTTTGGGTTATATGATAAGTAGGAAAGCTTAGAATCGGAAACAGCCTACGAAATAACACTCAAAATATTAGTATGTGTAATCAAATGGCGACGAGGGAGATTAGGAACTAATTTCACTTGCGTTTTGTCAAAATTCTGATAATTTCTCGAGCCTTTCGGCTCGGGAAATTATCAGAATGTTGACAAAACGCAAATGAAATTACTTCCTAACTTCGCGAGAAAACCATTTGATTACCTTTTAATATCGTGGGTGACAAATTACGCTCACAACTGTAATTGTTTTTACTGGTTTGTTCTATGGAAAACCGAGAACACGAAGAAGAATACAGTTTTCGTTTAAAGCATACATTATTGTTAAAGTTCGTATTTTTTCGAGTTTCTTCACAAAAAATACCTTTCAAATTCTTCGTGCCTGTTAATAATTTTCGGCCCCTTCTTTTAATTTCGTAACTTCTTCAAGGGTCACCGTTGATCTTCAATCTCGACGCCGTCTTGGCTCTGATCGAGATACAAGACATGGATGTTACCATTGCAATTTTGTAATTTCACATGTGAAAATTAAAATTAACGCTGAAATTTCGCGGCAAAATTAAGGAGTGATTTTTCACTTATGACATTACTTTAATGCAAAAACAAAAGAAAAGGCAAGGCTAGGTATGTAAAAAAAATGGAAATAAACATACTAATGGCAGGTGTCTTACATCAAAATATTGCCTCCGTTTCTGATGAGGGAAAATGATGACGTAATCTTCCAACTGTTCTATCTCAGCAGGAATATTATTCATATGTACTGAAGATTATTACTAAAGCCTAACCCGCCAGGCTTGTGAAAATTAATCATTCAGATATTTAAAAGTGAGTCAATCAAATATGCACATATCTCACGTTATATTTAATATTCTCCAAAGGTAATATTCATTATATTAGTATTATGATATCTCACTTAAGGGGCATAGAAATACCTACAAGGAATCGAATTCTCAAAATTTTCAAAAGAAAAAAACACTCTGTATTTGACAAAACTCTATTGAGCAATTTAGACCTATGTTTACGAAACGCTGATCGCGACGTGCATTCATTTATTGAACTAGGCAGAGCACCAGATATGTGTCAAATAGATCATGATGTAAACTATGCAGGTCAGGTTTTCCATTATATATGTCTTGCCTGCCTTGAACTAAAGCCGTTTCCAACCAATTTCTCCCGTGTGAAACAGTACATAGACAAAAATATCATGTCCTCCAGAAGAAACTGCAATCGAAGCCTTTTGCATGGTGATAGTCCTTACGCTAACGGCTAAAACACTAATTAAACCATGATCAATACAAACTAACATACCGGAAGAATCACTCACCCGTTAAAAATGGCATATCAGTGAAAGGGATGATCAACTAAGCTTCCTCGGTATTTTCTGTCGAGCACAAGTAAATGAATCGAACAAGTGTTCAATGATTTGGCCATGTATACTGTTTGTACCTGTGCTCTTTTGATGGAACTTTGCGTCGTAAAACGAAAGGCTGACGGATCACAGGGTTAGTGTTGGCAAGAATCTTAACAACTACATCTTAACAAAAAACCGCTTTCCCTGTTATTGGCATATCAACTTAAGCTATGGCTCTGGCTTTATTTTGTGCTTGTTCGGTTTTTGGTTTTTACTAATCATGCCAGATCTTTAAGTCTGTTGCCTTTGAAATAAGTTGGTTTTATGATCGCGCAGAGGCTATGGAATGTTTCCAGCCAACTCTCTGCATTGATCTCACAAATTTCCGTCACTTCCATCCCTGGGTCGACTTCACTACCAATCCATCCAAACTATTTTAAATTCGGTTTGAAAGGAGAGGCTGTTTTCAAAAACGACATCTCTGCTTTTTTTTTTTTGTTACCAAGAGTACCCAATCGATATTCATCCCGTTAGTTTTCATTTTTTAAGGATTTCTCATTATTTAGGTCGAAAAAAAAATCCTGAGTGATATTTAGATCAGTGTTAGAAATGACTACAGCAAAGGCTTTTAAGCATTAAACGCTGCAGGAAATGGGTCACATTTTGAGAAAACTCACGGATAAACTCCCTGGTTTGTTGTTTGGTCATCAAGACTCCCCAATCGATATTCATCCCATGAATTTTAATTTTTTTTTAAGGATTTTTCCTTAGTTAGGTCGAATTAAAATCCTGAAATATTTGAGAGAAATAAGGATCAGTGTTAGAAATAACTATAGCAAACCCTTTTAAGCGTTAAACGCTGCAGCAAATGGGTCGCATTTTGAGAAAACTCACAGATAAACTTCCCAGTTTGCCAGAAAAAAACATATACCGTTATCTCGTTAAGTCTAGAATGGTTGCCCAACAACTGCTTAAAATCATGGCGCTGAATTTTCTTCGATTTCAACTCCAAGGAACTTACCTTTCCATAAGATTAAAGAGTATTGGATTTTATGCAGTGTAGGTCCTGTTATTCCACCGAGTGCGTTCCAACATGTCCAAGTAAAATGCTCAAAAAGCGCAACCAGGTTCTTCTCTCGCTGTTAAGGATTTCAGTGTGGGTGGAAAACATCTATCCGTCTTCAAAGCCTGAGTGAACCTCACGTTTGGTTAGGAGTGAAAAAGGAAATTCATATTTAACCTACGCAGTGAGGACAGAGCCCCTAAGCGATAATAAAGCAGTCAATGATAGACAGCCAAGACAGGTGGACATTGGTTACAGGGAAAATAATTGCCTGTAGATAGCGAACCACTATTTTATCAGGCCTAAATGAATGGTCTGACAACTGTGTGAAATTATCCCAAACTAAATGACGTATAGCGACTTATGTCGGCCAGGAAATTCATCAGAGGACCCTTAAAGGATAATAAGACAACGCACGAGACATAGCCTTCCAAATTCCAATTACATGTTTAATATGTTAGCACCCTAACCCTTTAAAGAGTAAAAATATGCACAGTTCGCATTAGAGAAGGTAGGGGAAAGTATTAGAGATATTATTTTTACACTAACTAAGAAAAAATTGAAATGTTTACACAGAAAGCAGATGTGTGTAAGAAATTGCGTTTACTAATAGTCTGAAAAGTCTACTTCGCATAAATGTTGCTTCCCAACTATTGAAAGAAAAATTATTTCCCCTATTCCCTGCGAAAAAGAAAGGCATTATTCGGGAAGCAATGGCAGCAGACGCTAGGAAATTTGAGGACAAATATGCAAAGGGCCAACGTTCGAAGTGGCAACTCTATGGTGGTCAATTTACATTATCAACTCAGTTGATAAAAACGAAATTATCTTGTAATAGCCCCTACTGATGCAGCATCGCAAGGTTAGCATTTATCCATTTATATGCATATGATAAATCATGTTGTCGATCCTTAGCATTATAAGGGAAAATATGTGATTGACAATATGGTCGCACTCAGTGAACTGCAAATGTAATGAAGAAATAGATAATTTTGTCAAAGGGCTTCTATTTATATATTCCTTTAAATTCACAATTGAATGGTGTGTTGTTCACTCGACCAGCAGGAACTGACACTCGGACGCACCAGGCCACGGACATAAGAAGTGGTCTGTTTTCTGTTGACGAATCTCATTCTTTGAATGTGCCTCGGGTTGGAATATTCTCGGTTTACGACGACATTGAGTGTACCTTTAAATGCCTTCAAAATCCTTCTTGTCTTTCTATGAATCTGGCCCTGGGGATAAGATTATGGTGCGAGCTTCTGTCATCTGATAAATACAGCGTCCCCGAGGAATTCCGAAAGAATAAAAGTTCACATCACTTTTACATTGTGGTAAGGAAAGTGCTTTTCATGTTGTTAGATTGCTACATGCAATGGTCATGATTAAAACAATAATTCAGGACAAGTAAAGTAAAAGATATTAGATACGAAAAATTATCCTTTTTTTAGCCCTTAATTTGATACTTTTCCTGCTTTTAGACTCAGGACAAGCCTGTGAACCTAGCCGAGTATAGTTGTTTTTCCAATAAAGGGTTCTTTTATTTCTGCGTTCATGCCATTCACCTATACTCTCCTTAAATAATCTATTTCTATATCTAATTAATTATTTTTCCTATATAATTCCTCTTGTTATTTCGCTTGTCAACCTTGGTTTAGCTGTATAAAGAAACACGGTCTTTGGAAACGCTAAAAAACCGTCAAAAGTGTCAAAAAATTTATATCGCAAAAAAAGTGAAGTGCCACCTTGAGATAAACTCGGCTTTGTAGGCTGTGAAGAGGTCAATTGTGTCATATTTAAAATCATTGCTCTCTATTTCCCCTTTTCAAGAATAAATGTGCTGAGAATCCGTGCAAGAACAGCGCCACTTGTCAAAGTGGTTTCACTGACAAAGGATATCACTGTCTGTG